ACGTAAATAAGTCGCCAGATAAACTTTTTGGCTAAAACACTGTCTTCTAATTACCCTACATTTTTATCACACACGAGGAAGCAGACATCCTACCACCACGGGTCCAATAAGTTTATAAGGGAATGCAGGGGTGCGCTCTCCACCGTAGTTATATCCACCAGTCTGTGTGAAATAGGCTCGATGAGCCCGGATACCCAACACATACGTTTTAAGATTCCTTTTTTCAGTAGCCTGTAGCAAACGGAAGCAGGGATTATTGACTAATGTCGTCCGTAACCAATTCGGTACACTAACTGTGAACGATACGCTTTTGCGGCATCTGCATTGTAAGTGCACTGAAGCGCGGTAAACGTTAACTTTGTGATACTATGTGCTAACTGTCTTAACTTTATAATCGTGGTTTTCTAAGCCTGACCGGAAAGCTGGATCTTTTACATGGTAGCACTTAAAAATGTCAAAGAATGGTAATTCGTATGGATGCTATAATGCAATTCAAAATTCAAAGAGTCAAGTGAAAATATTAACGAGCTTTGGGGGAATCAATTTATGAGAACGACTCCCCGCCTTTGGTAGTCTATATTCAAAGGCTATCCAACTAGTAAGTATGTACATATTATGCATATAGGTACCTATCACAGTGGTTAAGTGAGTTAAACCCTAGCAACTGCGATCTTCAAACCATTGTTACTAAGGCTAGAAGAAGTCGGTGGAGGCCCGAGTAGTAAGAATAGTTTATTCAAGAACACAATTTGACTGCAGTTTGGATATTGTCTCATAGGCGCTGACAAAATAACATTTCATTTATTTATTATTAATTTCAAAAGCATATATACAGATGCTGATATGTTTGCGAAAGTTACGACCTACGGATACTGTTGAGTTCCATCGATAATACTCAGGAACGGTGACGTAAAGACCAGTCTCGAGGCTTAGTTCAGTTTTGTTTATTTGGGGAACTATGGGTTTTAACTTTTAAATTCCCATCGTTTTGTTACAGGCGACGTAATTACATCCGAATTTGAAGAAAATAATACTAAATAATTAAGGGAAAATTAAAAATCTATAGTGCTTATGGAACACGCAGATATGCAAACTCTCCTTTATATGTAGTAACAAGGGTATACTCAAGACTCGGTAGCAGTGGAAGCAACCCACTGCCGCCTAATGTAGTCTAATTACAGCGTTTTACTACTTTGTCTAGAGGTAAAGTCTTCTCTTAAACAATGCTTTCGGTAACCTTTTGGGCAATCTTCTGAAGTAACTCTCTACGGCTATTTAATGAATAAGAGAGATGTGATGAGCAGTAACTTAGCTTCGTATAAACTGGAAGGCAGGCATTCCAATAAAGGCAATTTCAAGGAAAGGAGTCCTTTGGGAAAATGAGGAGTTTTTTTCAGTAAATTTTCGACACTGGATACCTTCAGGTCTTCGTCATATTTGGGAAACTGTGCATCAACCTACAAGCCTCTCTTGACAGACCCTATAAAGACTCAAACTTTAGCTATCGACAAGGTGTTGAAATGTCTGAAGGGATTGAAACAAGTACCAGAAGATCTTGTCAAGGTACTGAAACAAACTGAACCGACCATCGCTAGGATTTATAGATTACCTAAAGTGCATAAACCCGAAGTCCCTCTGCGGCCGATAGTATCTCTAATCGGAGCGCCGAACTACAAAATTTCTAAATGGTTATTTCACCATCTCCGCCCAGTCACAAGGAACTCTGAAACTTCCATTGAGAACTCCATGGAATTCTTAGAGAAATTATAAGGAATCACAATCTCCGCTGATTAAATAATGGTCTCCTTCGACGTCTTCTCCTTGTTCACCTCTACACCACTGGGAGTAGCAAGACAGTTCACGAAGGAATGACTACAGTCCTACGAGACGGATGTCCCTGCAACTACCCTACTCGAACTTTTGGAACTATGCCTACAGACTAATTTTTCATTCAACAAAAATATTATCGGCAGCTTAAAGGAACTCTTATGGGGTCACCTATATCGGATTTCCTTGTTAAAGTGACAGTGCAGAGGCTCGAGGCGATAGCTCTTCCGCTAGCCAACCCTAACTTGTGGCTACGATATGTTGATGATACCTTTGTTATCGTGAGAAAGGATCAGCCGGAAAACTTACACAATATCTTCAATGCCACGTTTCCGGGAATTAAATTCACGCTGAAAAAGGAATCTGACGCCAAACTCCCATACCTCGATGTCCTTGTACAACGACAGCTCGATTGGAAGTTAGGCACAACTGTTTACTGCAAGGAAACGTATGCCAAAGTCATCCTAAACTATGAGAGCAACCATCCTATCTCTCATAAAAAGATCACTATTAATCGTCTGTTAAATCGAGCAGAAATGCATTGTTCGGACGAAGAAGGTTACCAGGAACAACTGAGTTACTTATTTGACTTATTCTCCCAAAACGGTTACCCACTAGAATTTATACGTTTCTGCGTGAGCCAACAATAATTAAAGAAAAAGGATTCAGGCAGTAGCAATCAGACGCCATATACATGGCGTAGCCTTCCTTACATCAAAACCGTGTCTGAAATCGTTGACAGATACCTGAGAAAGTATTAAATCCGGGTGGCTCATAAACCAACAATGCCTTTCCGCCCCCAACTGGTACACCTTAAAGATAGGATAAACTATTTAGTCAGGAAAGAAGTTGTCTACAAAATCCCGTGCGGAGCAAGTGGTGTCGTTTATTGTGGCCAGATGGGAAAATTCGCCTCCGTGTGCATTCACGAACAGCAATCGACGGAAAGAAGACGAGACCACCTCTCCCAAGTCGCCATGCATACCCTAGACACCGGACATACATTCGCGTGGGACAAAACTCCTACTGGCGCTACTTGTCTTTTCAGGAAAGGCCGTGAATTACTCAAAGCAATGCACTCGGACACATCATGCATTAACAGGCATGTCGAGTTGGATTGTTCGTACCAAAAGTTTCAAGCAGAAATGGGCGAGACGCAAACCGATCCGAACTGAGGGAGACACACTGCAGCAACCTACCGGCGCAGTGAGCCACACATGAGATCCCGAACACCTGGCCCCGTTACCACCAGCCACAACGGCATGCTGTAACCTCACGCTTCCACGCAAATTGGCGAGGATGCCTGGGCGTCTACCAAGTAAAGCTTGTATTTCCGTTGCACGGCGAGTTCTTGCTCATGCAGTCTCGTCAGAACCCGTTTTCCGGTTTCACCAACATAATTGGCATGATCAAAAAGACAGTCGATTCATGACACCGGGTTTTTGGTTAGTGGGTATTGTGTCTTTGGGCTGCATGAGTTGCCTGCGGATTGTCGCTTCCGATCCGTGAGCGACGCCAATCCAAAATACGTTGACCAGTTGAGAGAATACTTCGGGTATACCAACAATAATAGGCTTGCTTGTCAGCGTGTAGGTTATGGCTGCCTCTAGGGATTTATTCCTTTGAAGCATAGTTTTCCCGGTGAGAACTTGAAAATAGTAATGCAAAATTTTAATGGATCCATTATTCCTTTGGCTTTTCGCCTGCAGTTTTCGACAAAGCTGCTAGGATATGCATTCAGCGAGAAAATTTTCCTCAGAAACTAGACCTCGACTTTCATCTCGGCTGCTTCGCTGCAGTGGGTTTCTACTCGACGATATAGCGTACGTGCGAGATGGAGTGGTAGCTAAGGTTACTCAGTATACGAGAGGTATTCGTCGCCTTTCTGTGAACTTTTATGTTGAGTCACCCATTGTCTTTTCTTATGCAGTTTGTATGGACACGTTGAG